TTCATTCTTTTGGATTTGTTTTACAGTGTCTTGATTTCTCATAAAGTCACTAGCTTCCAATTGCTCTATTCTAATTTTTAAGGAAGTATTTTCTTCAGTAATCTTTTGGACTTCCTTTTCCATTTGGCCAATTTTTCTTTTTAGGGCATTCTTCTCCTCATTGGCTTTTTGGACCTCTTTTGCCATTTGGGTTAGGCTATTTTTTAAGGTGTTATTTTCTTCAGTATTTTTTTGGGTCTCCTTTAGCAAGCTGTTGACTTGTTTTTCATGATTTTCTTGCATCACTCTCATTTCTCTTCCCAGTTTTTCCTCTACTTCTCTTACTTGCTTCTCAAAATCCCTTTTGAGCTCTTCCAAGGCCTGGGACTGATTCATGTTTTTCTTAGAGGCTTTGGATGTAGGAGCTCTGACTTTGTAGTCTCCTTCTGGTTGTATGTTTTGATCTTCTTTGTCACCAAAGTAAGATAATGTAGTCTGACTCTTTTTGTGCTGCTTGCTCATGGTCCCTGCCAGTTACTTGAGTTTTAATCTCTCTGTTAAGGTAAGAGTCTGCTTCCAATGTGGAGAGTGTACTGTCCCTAGCTTCGGGGTTTATAGCTGTTTTCAGAGATACTTGTAGGGACCTGTAAATTTTCAGTTCTTGCAAAGTGATATGATAAGGGGCGAGGTGTTTACTCTTTTTCTGGCCTGTGCTGTAGTCTGTTAGTGACAAGCACTCCTTTCTGTGCTGGAACTGTGAGGAAGGTTTCCTGTCCACAGCCACTACAAGCTCTACTGTGCCAACACTCCTCCTCACCCCAGCACCCCTGCCCAGAAATGTGACCCACATCCAAGTACAGGCAAAGCAAGAGATTCCTGCCTCAGCACCAGCTATCCCCCTCTGATCAGCCACTCCATTCCCCCTCAGTCTGTGGGCCAGAAGCCCGGGAAGCAGTTGCCTACCCCAGGGCTGTGTTCTTGGGGAATTGGAGCTGAGACCCCGCCTTCCTCTCTCAGCACCACAGAAAGAGACTTTTCCCACTGACCTTCTAAGTTGTCTTTGGCATTTGTGGATTGAGGAGTCTGGAAACCACCACAGCTGCCTGCGATTCAGTCCTTTGAGTCCTGCTCCACGATTGCTGTGGCCTGCGCCCATGCTGCACTAAACTGGGCTCCCAGCCCGGAGTGATATACCTTTGTGGTCAATCATCCAGGTTGTCTTGGGCTGGAAATTTGTTTCACTCTGTCTTTTTGTGGGTTCTGCTGCCTTAGAATTTGTTTAGAGCCATTTTTTTTTGTAGGTATTTGGAGGGGTTTGGGGGAAAGCTCAAGCAAGTTGCTGCTTTCACTCCGCCATCTTGGCTCCGCCCCGAATGGCCACTTTTGTTGTGAGGAAAGTTGTAGACTTACAAAATAGCCAGCTGATGTTTTCCTAAGATTCCCAATTATTTTAAATAAGAAATCTGGTGAGGACAAGATGACTTATGATACCTACTCTGTGGCTGTAAATCTGTGACTTCTCCAGCATAAGTGATTTTTTTTTTTGATAAACTAGATCTTTTGTGAGTTTCTTCTTTTCAGTTACCTGTGGAATGTAAACCTCATAAGCATATCTTTATCATATAAATCTTTACTTTCTCCTGTCTTTTAGAGTTCATAAACCATAGTTTAAAAAATGATAATTTTTGTCTCTGATGTTATTGGAAACTATATAAATTTTAAGAAATCTTTGTTCAAATTCAGGGTTTTTTTCAACTCTGGACCTATGTTGAAGCATAATAAACCTGAATTTGCCTCCTAAATATCTGCATATTGATAGTTTTAATTGACAGCAGTACCTATCAGTGAATCTATGGATATTTCCACAATCCCTAGTTTGCACATATTTATTTGCATTTTGTCTCTTGCATTAGATTGTCTTTTGCCTCTTTTATTTTTTTATTCCTAGGCTTAGCATAGCTCCTGGTACAAGGTGATTGACAAATGTTTATTGACTGACTACTGTCAATAAATAAGTCAGCATAGACAAATAAACCATAGTTTCTTTATTCATTCAAGAAAGTGACACATACCATCTCTCTCTCTCTCTCTCTGTCTCTCTCCCGCCCACCCCTCTTCTTCTCTCCTCCCCCCAACATGGATTTTATTGTGATTTTTTTTGGTTCAAGCCAACGGGGGAGACATTTGAAAGCAGTGGATTCAAATTCAAATAAAACAGGATCACTAATCCATATATAAGGATCTTTTCAGGCTGCATATTAACTTAGTTTTAAAAATGTAATGTTATCTTATATTTTACTGTATTAACAAAATAATGTTAAATTTTTCACAATTATGTTTTAATCTGGTTCATTGGTCCTCACTCAGGCTTGCTATGGGCAGGCCATGTATTTGATACCTCTGCTTTAAAAGACAATTCTAAATTATTCCTAGGAGCCTAGAGGTAATTTTGGAGTTCATGATATGGGCAACTGTGCCAATAGCACCCTATTTAATTGTCTGGAGATAAGAAGGAGTTTAAAACATTTCCACTCTTATCCCTGAACTGTAACCCTCTCTGGAGTGAAGGGTACTTGAAAAGCACAGCACCCTTACTGTTGAACCACTCTGTCTTTCTCCCTCCATCCTTTCTTTACACTGTCGTCTGTGTAATTTTCCTTTTGGCCTGGTCATGTCCCTTGCTCAAAAACGTTCAGAGTTTAGTCAAGTTTCATTCATTATGTAATTCTGGGTTTACAAATGAGAATATTATTATTGCATGGTCAGTATTCCATTAAAAAAAATCATCCCTTAAAAACATGTTCCCTCTAACAGTTTTGCTTAGCTTCACAGAGCTAGTAAGTATCTGAGAGCAGATTTGAATTCATGAAGATGACTTTAGGCCTGGCACTCTATCCACTGTGCCACCTAGTTGCCCCAGAAAGTGCCTTAGAAACCATCAAGTCCAATCCCTTGTTTTACAGATGAGGAAACTGAGGCACAGAGTATCTCTGCCTAGGGTAAGTAGTTATGTGTCTTGCCCATTTAAATATCTGAGGCAGGATGTAAAGTCAAATTTTCTTGACTCTAAGCCCATTGCTCTATTTAGTAGACCAACTAGTAATTCCCAGTCCTGCATATCATGCAGCTGAATAATGAACAAATTTGATGTTTGGCTACCATATTAGACTCCTTATTCATATCAAGTTTGAAGTATAATAAATACCTGAAATTTTTTTTCTAGATGAACTGCTATCTGTCTATGCCTTCCACTTCTTATATTTGTGAAAATGATTTGCTCCTATTAAAATTTCCAACTTTTGGATTGAGCTCAGCCTTCTAGTTCATTAAAATACTCTTTTGGATTCTGGCTTTGCCATCCAGTATATTAAAATCTCCTTGCCAGATTTTGCCAGTTTAAAATGTATGCCATCTATTTCTTTATCCAGATCATTGATAAATGAGACAAATAGCACTTAGTTAAACACAGATCCCTGGGAACATTCAATTGGAAACTTCCACTCAAACATTGAATGATTAATGACTATTCATTTATTCTTTACCACATCCTTGTTAATTAAGTAGGTGATATCATTCTCTTTCTTTTTCTAAGTGAGGAATTAGGACTCTAATTAGCTAATTGCTTTGCCCTATGTCACATAACTTGTAATTATGAGAGCTAGGGCTAAAAACCAGGTCTTCTGACTCCAAATATAGTGCCAATTCTACTTCATGCTTTTGATTATATCCAACTATTCCATCATTTTCCCTCAAATCTTTGTCCTATTCATGTTCAGAATGTGGTGTATGGACCCCTGGGTGTCACCAAGTGACCTTGAGGGGGTCTATGGTGCTAAAAACCAATTTAACAATAATGATAATCCTACTCATAATAAATTATTTGCCTATTAAAATACTCCATTTTCCAACTGCATTTCTCTATCAGACTAGATTTTCTTCGTATACTTCAACCAAAATAACGTATCACAATAGATCAAATGTAAAAACAAATATGAGAATCTTACTGCCTTCTATGAAAACTATGTAAAACAATGTCCTCCTCTTATTAATTTTTTTTTTGTTTTGGAAAAAAGTTATTTTTCACTAAAATATGTCACCTATGTTAACATACAATGGGTTTATTATTGTTGTTTTTAAGTGAATAAATATTTTAAAATGTATGCATTTTAATTTTGAGTATGATAAATATCAATATAATCCACATAATAAAAGCTCTTTGGGGTCCTTCAAATTTTTAAGAATGTAAAGGAGTCACAAAGACCAAAAAGTTTGAGAACTGTAGCTTTATATTATTTGGTGGTCAATACATGGAGTCTTCTTGTATCCCATATTCACATTACACAGTTCTGCATTTAGCTTTTTGTAGTTTAGTTATTTCCATTATCATTCAGCCAAACCTGACCACTCCAATATCAGTGATTTCTGTCTACCTATATCCAATCATTTTCTCAATCTTCACCTTCATGATATCTTATTTGCATTTTATAACCCCTTTTTCCTAAAACCCCTTTTTCTTTTCTTCTCTGGGTTTTCATGACCCCAACTCTTCTATTACTTCTCTGACAACTTCTGTTGTCAGAAAGTCTGACTTCTTTCTCTTACTCTCTAGTTACCAGTATTTTCCTAGGTCAGTCATTGGCCACTGCTCTTTTCTTTCTTAAAGGCAATATTATATAGGATGGATAGATTGCTAACCTTGTAATAAAAAAGACTTTGGTTCAAATTCCACCTCTAGCATTTTACTACACAATGACTATAGTCAAATCTCCTAACATCAATGATTTTCATTTTCTTCCTCTGAAAATGGGGAAAATAATAATGTTGTTTTAAAGCTACAATCTGAAAGTGTGTATAGAAGCCCTTATAAACTTTAATATGCTACACAAATGTCAACTCTCTTTTGTTGTTGTTCAGTCGTTACAGTAGTATCTGACTCTTTGTGAATTCATTTAGGATTTTCTTGGTAAAGATTTTGGAATGGTATGCCATTTCCTATCATATTCTTTTCTGTGTTTTCCCAGAAATTCACCACAAGGATTCCACTCAAGATTCTGGAGGATTTCCATGTTGTCTCCTGACATTATGTCTGCATGGGTTACCCAAAAATTGTTTCTTACTCTTACCACATGACCAGCACATCTTCATTTTAAGCAGAGATTTCCCCAAGAATGTTCACTCAAGTTCCTTTTCTTTTTTTACTCAAGTTCCTTGAACTTATTACATGATGCTCAGCCTCTTTGTCCCCACTATAAATCTCCCTATTATCTTTGACATAATATAAATTTTTAATTCCTCAAAGACTGTGGTCTTCAATGGTTGATAGCTTTACTGTAACATAGTAGAATACTGGATATTGGCATGAAAAAAGATGGGTTTTTTTTCTGGGAGAAGTCTGAGGCCATTAAAAGAGCACATATGGAAATACATATATAGATCATATATGTATGTGTTTATATATGTGTGTATATGTGTATACACACATATTTATTAATTGATAGAGAATTAAATGAAATGTAATGGACAATATCAGCTTTCTTACTGTCCTCTGCCATCATTATCATTAGGTATAGTTTTAGAAATTCTAGAAAAAAGAATGTTAAAGGCAGTTTTCAGATGAAGATATTAAAGCTATCTATAGTCATATGAAATACTCTAAATCACTATTGATTAGAGAAATGCAAATTAAAACAACTCTAAGGTGCCACCTCACAACTATTAGATTGGCTAATATGATGGAAAAGGAAAATGATAAATGTTGAAGATGATGTGGAAAAATTGAGACACTAATGCATTGTTGATGTAGTTCTGAACTGATTCAACCATTCTGGAGAACAATTTGGAACTATGCCCAAAGGTCAAACTGTGCATACCCTTTGATCCAGCAATACCACTACTAGGTCTGTATCTCAAAGAGATCATAGAAAAGGAGAAAGGACCTACATGTTCAAACATATTTATAACAGCTCTTTTTGTGGTGGCAAAGAATTGGAAATTGAGGGGATGCCCATCAATTGGGGAATGGCTGAACGAATTGTGGTGTATGAATGTAACGGAATACTATTGTGCTATAAGAAATGATGAACAGGCAGATTTCAGAAAAACCTGGAAAGACTTACATGAACTGATGCTGAGTAAAGTGAGCAGAACTGGGAGAACATTGTGCACAGTAACAGCCACATTGTGTTATGATCAACTATGATCGAAGACAATTCCAAAAGACTCATTATGGAAGATGTTATCCACATCCAGAGAAAGAACTATGGAGTCTGAATGCAGATCCAAGTATACTATTTTCATTTTGAGAGATTGATTTCCAAGGTATGTGAAAAAGAGTGCAGGGCCAAAGGCATTAAAAAATATATCAAATGCTATTATTGGTCTCCAAAAGGTAATCAAGAGTATCAATAGAAACTCTCATCAAACCTTCAATTTTTTCACCTTTGTGAAATTTTAATGCAAATAATATATGCATTCTTGATCAAAACAAGAGAGAACAGGCAAAGTTGTGCATATAATATTTAATCATATTGTTACCCAAAATAATTGCATAAAGAAGTGTAGAGGATGTCATAAGAGAGATATATGAAATGTCTGTTCTTAGCCTTAATAGTTTATTCCTTTCCGTAACTACATGACTGTTTTTTTTTGTGTCTTTTCCCTTTTGTTCTGTTTCTTCTTTCACAACATGACTGATGTGGAAATACATTTGCATGTTTAACCTATATCAGATTGTATATGTATATGTATATTATACATGCAAATGTATAACATAATATACTGCTGCTATCTTGGGGGGAATGGAAGGGAGAAAAAATTCGAAACTCAAAATCTCATAAAAATGAATGCTGAAAACTATCTTTACACATAATTGGAAAAAATAGAATACTACTTACAAAAGAAAGAATGTTAAAACAAATTAAGGAAATAAACATAGGCAAAGTAGAAGTCAAAATCAATCAATTTTCAGATAATGTATGTCCATACATGTACACAGACAAACACATATAGAAAACACTCTAGGTTTTCTAATTAACAGCATGTTAATAAATATTCTCCATTCCTTATTTTTTTTTCCTGTCTGTATGGTAGAGCCAAATTCTTTCCTGTGAGTAAGGATCTCATCTCTTCTCTCCTTCTCTTCCCTTCTCTCTTCTCTTTTCCTTGAAATGAGAATGGCCAGTAAGGGTATTTCCTCAAATGGAGTTACTAGGAAGGAACTTATGAATTGGAGGAACTTCCATTGGAATGGAGGTGAAGAAGTCCTCTCAGATTCATGAGCTGAGCTAGTTTTGAAGATATCTCTTGCAACTCATTTCAAGGAAATTATCTTTCACACTTAACTATCTAATTTGCTTTATTAAGCAGACATCATATTTATTCTAATACGTGATTTTTTTTGAGGGCAGTCATTATATTTGTTAAATCATCGTATCCCCAGCATTTAATAGAATATCCAATTTTACAGGCAAAGAAATTGAATCCCAGAGAGGGAGAATGATTTCCCCACGTGATTAGTGATATAAACAAAAACTAAAATACTTATCACTATTTACCTAAAACCAGAGGTGTGCCGGAGCCAGCTTTAACCACTATCTAGCCAATTGTTAAATTTTTAGTGTGAGCATTTACACCTTGGAAGTCAGCAAACATCACCAATCAAAGCTTGATTTCTTAATTTGTTAATGGTCTAGAGTCTAGACTTAAGAAAGTGATGGTGAAAATGTTAATAATGGAGATTAAACTTTAAAGTTTGCCATGTGCACATTTTTTTGTGAAATGGTTGTTAAAAATTTACTACCACACCCTTGCCTAAAGCCCAGTCTAGGATTCTTTTTATCAGTTAGGATTAAGTCACATAAGGTTCTAAGTGTAAGAGATGGCATTTAAATGCATGTGTTCTGCTTTCGGAGCCAGTGCTCTTTCCATTGTACAGTGGAACAGAATATGGAGGACAAGGTTGTAAACAATAAAAAGGCAGGTTTTCAACAACTGCATACCATATGTGATTGTACAAAATCTATTCTCTGTGCATTTTCCTCTAGAGGCCTTCAGAAATAACATTCATATAAGTTATGAATATATGAAAATGTAAAACATATTTTAAAATACTACAACCTAACGTAAGATTCATTTTGTAAGAGTTGGGAAGGAAACTGATTGAAAACAGGGTGAGTATAGTGGAAAAATATCTGAAGGCAAACAAAGTAGACTTCATGATAAGATTAACTGAACAACTATACAAAATAATGATGAAATTTAAAGCAGTTAAACAAATGAATTTGTACTTTAACATAATCATGTCTTCCTGAATAGATTAAACATGCTAACTGGACTAAATATTAATATTTTTAAAAGGGAGGTGCTTTATCTTCAATGTAAGTAGTTGTTACCTTCCCCTTTGTCCAAGTCATCTATCATGTAATGGGGAAGTAAAGTATGCAGAATGATAACTGAATAAATTGAAATGTTTTCATTACAAATGGGAAATTCCATGGGAAGGCAGAGAGACTCCATCACTTCAGGGATTTCTTTCTGTACCTCCTCTCTAGGCTTGTAAAAGTTTTATGCTAATTGATCACTAAGGGATTTGAGTATTTGGGGAATGCTTCAGAAGGAAAAAAAATGGAGTTTATTAGAGAATTATTCTGTGTGCTCATACATCTAATCTTGAAGACCTATAAAAGCTAGTCTAGGGAACCCTGAGTTTAACCCTTTTGGGCAGAGCCAGGAACTCTCAGTCACTGGGTAGGAACAAAGACTTCTCTGTTTCTGGCTTCCTCACTCTGATGACTCTTACCTGAGGGCCGACAATAGGTAGGCAAAAAACTTTCTGAGGGGTCAGGAAGAAGGAAGAATCAAAGACAAAGTTGCAAATGTTGAAGACAAAGAGAGGAACAGAAGTCAGAACAAATAGCTGATTTGGTAGGGAGCAAAATCCCAGTTTGGACATGTTGAATTTGATGCTCCAGTGGTTTGCATAGGTAGAGATAATTCACGGGCAGGTGAAAACATGTTTGTAGTTTAGAAGACATGCCATTACTGGAGTAGGCAGTTGTCTGCAAAGAAATTGGTAGCTGAGGAAATGAATGAAATTATACAGGAAAACATTCTATAAATTAGGTAGGAGTCGGAAACTTGAGAACAAAGTGATTGCAAAAATGAAGTTAAACACCTGTGATAGGTAATAAGGGAAACATGAAAGATATAAAGCTTAAATAAGATGGTTCCTGCCATCATACAGTCTAGATTCTAGCATATTTCTGTCTTCGCTTCTGTTGATTAGAACTCAGTGTAACTGAAAACAAAATGGGTTTTATCTGAATTGGATAGTGAACTTAAAATAAAGAATTCCACCCTCCCTGTGTGGCTACATGTTTCACTTCTAATCAGTTAATCAGTGAGCATATTTTAAAGCACCTATTATTTTCACTGGAGTGTGATGAGAGAGCAGGGCATGACTAAGATGGTATCAGTGATAATGGAAAAGATGGGAAACCAGTGGGAGTTAGGAAGGATTGACTTAATTTGGTGATTGATTGGGTATAGTAGAAGACTCAAGAATGACTCCAGGTTTTGGAGACAGGTTGACAGAAACTTGTAATGTCATTGTGAGATATTGAGAAGTCAAGAGTAAGATCTTATTTTGGAGGAAATGTGAATTCTGTTTGTAGATACATTGAGTTCGAAATGACTGCAAGATATCTTACTGGAGATATCCACTGAAGTGGGGAGAGAGTAGGAGTTGTGAAGGCTAGAGCCATAGATTTGTGAATTATCTATGTAGACTCTAGAATTGAAGACAGGATTAATACTAGTGGAGATAGGAAATATAGAGAAAGGCAGAGAGTTTAGGACTAAGCCTTTTGATTCATCTATATTTAGGAAAGTAGAGCACATGGCAGAGTCAGTGAAAGAGATGAAGGGATAGCTAGTGAGTTAGGAAGAGATACCCCCTCTCCCCCAATCCTCGAGCATTGGTGTCATACAATGAGGTAAAAAAGAGGGCTTCAAAAAGGGAAGAGTTGTCAGAAGTGTACAATGCTGCATGCATGTCAGGGGAAATGGGGACTGAAGAAAATGTCAGCTACAAGTCTGGATTTGCATTATTTAACATGATGATGGGTGACATCTGCATAATATTTTCAGTAGAAAGAACTTTGTGTTCTTTGTCTTGGTTGATCCTCAGAACAACCTGGTAAGCTACATAATGAAAGTGCTATTACTCCCATTTTACAGAAAAGGAAACTGAGCTTCACAAAGGTTAAATGACTTTTCCAAGGTCGCACAGCTGGTAAGTACTAGAGTTTGTTTTGAAATCTGGGCCTTTTGCTGCCAGGTACTGCACTCATGCTATGACCCCTTAGCCTTCCCTCTCAAAACTCTACTTTATCTGCTATATCCAAGGAACTTTCTTTCTCTAACTACATGGACTTTGAACAGACATGGAAGGAGTATTAGAAAACATATCAGTATCTGGGGCCTAAATCCTGGGATCTAGAGGCAACTCATGAGGGTGAGTTTTTATTCCTTTTGAATTTCCAAAAATAGAAGATGCAGGCTCTCAAAAAACAAAGGAACAGTAGCTTTTCTAGGGATATGTTATTCAGTTACTTTCTGAAAGAGGATCCTTTATGTTTCCTGGATACCAAAGATTATTTGGAAAATGAAACAAAATACAGCCTTTTATACCATGTTTTTGAGTTCTTTCTCTTCTGGTCCCCTATGTTTACTTGTATTGCATGTAGTGGAAATGTTAGGTATCTATGTATACATGTATAAGCATGGTTATATAGTTACAGTCTTTCAGGAAGTCTCCCATCTGATGAATAGCATGCATTGGCATAATTGTTGGGGAGGGTGTACTTGAAACCAGTGAATATGTCCTTCCTAGCACTAACTAAATTTAGTGCTGGCCAAGCATCTTCTAATAACTTACTTAATACATTTATCTCAACCACTTCTCTTCTTGCTATCATTTTCCCCTTCCACTATCTTCCAGAATAGGGAACATGTATATACTGCTTTATTGACATAATAATTGAATCACAGAATGTCAGAGCTGGGAAGAACTTCAGAAGCCATATCACTTGGCCCATACATGGTCAAGGATCTCCTCTGTGAAATACCAGAAGAGTATTCCTCCAACCTGGCTCTTCATGTTGGATTTCTTGGTTTTCTGCTTCTAATCCTCACATCCTTAATTTTCCCAAGCAGGAAGGCAAGGCTTTGTGGTAACAACATTTGTATCATGAAATCCTATTGATTTGAGGGAAGGCAAATCAAGTTCAAGGAAAGAGCAATTCATGTTACTTACCTTTCATAAATTTTGTCCTCTTGGTGACTATAAGATAGTGGAAATATAAGTCTACAAAACCAGATAATTCAGTCAATTCCACTGGGGAGAATATCTGCTCTCATTGTCATTTTTCATTATGTAAAAACTGGGTTTTACCCATAGAGTGATACCACATATAATGCCACCCAGCTAATTGATCAAATTTTCACTTTTTAATTATTTGTTTAGACATTTTGTAGGTGCAAACTCATCTGACTGCAGGAGGTGAAAAATGATCAGAGGATGGAAGTTAATGAAAGCTCAGGAGGATATTTCATCTTGATGGGCTTTTCTGACCAACCTCAATTAGAGTTGATCCTTTCGGTATTTGTCTCTGTGTTCTACACCATTACATTGATGGGCAACATGACAATTATCATCTTGTCTTTTCTGGACTTTCGGCTCCTCACTCCTATGTACTTCTTCCTCAGAAACCTCTCGGTCTTGGACATCTGTTTCACAACCAGCATTGTCCCCCAAATGCTGATGAACATCTGGGGGCATAATAAGAGAATCAGTTATATTGGCTGCTTGGTCCAATACTCAGTAGCTTTGGCTCTTGGATCTACTGAATGTGTGCTTCTTGCTGTGATGGCTGTGGACCGCTATGTTGCTGTCTGCTGGCCCCTGCGCTATGCCACCATCATGCATTCTCGGCTCTGCCATCTCCTGGCAGCTGCTTCCTGGTTCTCAGGCTTTGTTAATTCACTCCTTCAGTCATCTTTGGCCATGGTGTTGCCATTGTGTGGCCACCGCCAGGTAGACCATTTCCTTTGTGAGTTGCTTGTTATTATTAAGCTATCTTGTGTGGACACTAGGTCAATGGACTCTAAAATGTTCATTGCTCGCCTGATCATTCTGGCCATCCCTGTCTCTATCATCCTCACTTCATATGCTTGCATTGCTTGGGTAGTGGCAAAGATTCGCTCAGCTGAGGGACAGAGGAAGGCTTTTGGGACCTGTGCCTCACACTTGATGGTGGTTTCATTGTTCTATGGGACTATCATGTCATTGTATCTTCAGCCCAAGAACAATTATTCTCAAGGCCAAGTCAAGGTCCTGGCCCTTATCTATACCATTATAGCTCCCACCCTCAACCCTTTGATATATACACTGAGAAATAAAGATATAAATAAGGCAATTAAGAAAGTAATGGGGAAAGATCAAACCTAATGAGTTATAAAAACTGGAAATAATTAGATCATATATTTAAAAGTAGATGGTTCCATAGAAACTCTTTGGTCATCCCCTCCCCCCAACACTTTTCATAGATAAGGAAATTAGGACCTAGAGAGCTTAAGTGATTTGTTGAAAGCAGCACTTGAACCCAGGTCCTCTGACTCTAAGTGTGCTTCCCACAGTATCATGCTACCTATAAGTCATCATCTAAGAGGGCAATGTAAGAGTTGTCTGCTATAAACTCTCTAGTGCTCAGTAACCTGGATTACTTGACATAGGTTGTCAGATCCTGGCAAAGTAAGATATGCAGGGAAGAGAGGAGTTACAATTTCAGAGTAGTGTGTCAGAAGAGATATTGGAACTGAGCAAATAGATTTGGAAATCATCATCTGTGATTCTAAGTGCAGAATAAAGGTAGAGATGTTATTCTTTTCTCTTTTTCATTTTTTAAAAAATAAATTGACTTTTTTCTTTTGCTTTCAAGCCTAACAATTTTCAACAAACACAAAGATTTCCATACACAAAGAACAAGAAGAAAGGCTTATATGAGAAATTTAATTTTCTCTTATGTAGTTACTTGTTTAAAAGGCATATATTGATTTATAATTTGTAAGGTAGTAATAGATCTAAATTTATCAATAATGGTAATCATGGTTTACTCCAGACATCTTTTGCTACTTAATACCAATCACAAAAGTGTTTGGATATAAAAAATATCTAAATTTTGGCATTGTTTAGACCAGCAAGGTCAATCACATGGCCAGAAATGTTCCAGCGTGTAGTTCAAACCAGACTAAAATGTAACTGCAAAATACTTAAGAAAATAAATAAAAATAGAATAGAATATAGATAATGTTGATATGTGGTTTTCTAAATCAATATGCAGCAGCAGGGATCCTTATGTACGTTTTAATAATCTTGGTTTCTAATTGAACTTGACACCACTGGTGCAGACAAATGATCCAGGAAATTGAATTTTGAATTTCTCATTCAATAGGTTTAGCTACCACAGAGCTTTTGCCTAAGGATACTGAAATCTAGCAGTTTGTGTTTGCCTGTATTCAATATGTCCATAACTCCTCACAGTTACCCTGTAGTAATACTGAAGTATAAGATAGGCACCATAAGCATAGAATTTTAAAGCGAAACTCATCTTAGAAATCAACTTCCTGATAACTCAGAAATCTCTCCTGTAGTAGCCCTGGCTCATAGGCATCTAAGTTTTAGTTGATACTTCTAATGATAGTGTTCTGAGAACTACTGAAGGCAACTTATTCCATTATTTAGGACCTCTAACTGTTCAGAAATTCCTTTGCATATTGAGATGCAATACACACACACACACACACACACACACACACACACAAACACACACACACACACACACACACACATCCATTTATCCTCAGCCCACAATCTTTAAATGCCCTTCTAGCTTTAAATTCTATAATTTTGGTTCTGGGAAAATGCAAGACTATTTGGTTACTTGTTAAACATTTGAAGACAATGATTACATCTCCTTGAAGCTTCATCTCCAGGCTAAATATCTCCAATTCCTTAAACCATTCCTCATATAACGTAGTTTTCAGACTCACATTTTTCTGACATCCTTTAGTTTGTGAATATTCCTCTTAAAATCTGGGGACAAGAAATGAATAAAGTACTACAAGTGTATTATGACCAGGCTAGAGTACAGTTGGATTCATTACTTTGTGTGACTTTGATCCTATATATCTTAGAGGCAGCATAATGTCAGGAACAGATTATGGGACTTGGAGTCAGAAGAGCTGGTTTGTATGTAGCTCCTGCCACACGTGGGAACTTAGACAAGTCATCTAACTTTTCTGAGTTTCAGTTTCATTATTTATAAAAAAAGAATAAATAACTTTACAGAACTATTGAGATGAAGGCATTTTATAAGTTGTAGAATTCTACATAAATATGAGCTGTTATTAATCTAATAATTAAGTGTTATTAACCTGAAATTGTGGCCATTTTTCTAGTTGCAACAGATTAAGTTTTTGATTAGCTGAAATCTCTAGATCTTTTTCATCTGAAGCAAAGTAGGACAATCCCCGCCCCCCCTTTCTGCTGAGACAATAAGGGTAAAGTGACTTGCCCAGAGTCACACAGCTAGTAAGTGTCAAGTGTCTGAGATCAGATTTGAACTCAGGTCCTCCTTACTTCAAGGCCAGGGCTCTATCCACTGGCCATCTAGCTGCCCTCCTTTTTTTTTAACCTAAACGAAAAACTTTCTATTCTTCAGTATTGATTTTAGTTTTAATCCAGTGTGTCAAGAATTTGTCAAATTTTAATTGTCATCTATTATAATTCCAGCTCTAGCTCATCTATATGTTTTAGAAACATGTCAAAAGTCAAATAAACAAGTTTTTATTAAGTACTTACCATGTTCAGGGAGTAGCAAGGTGGCCTAGTGGATAGAACACTAGATCTGAAGTCAGGAACAGTTGAGCTCAAATGCAGCCTCAGACACTTCTTAGCTGTGTGACCTTGGGCAAGTCATTTGACCTCTGTTTGCCTAAAAAAAGGATCCACTAGAGAAGAAAATGGCCAACCACTCTAGTTTCTTGCCAAGAAAACCCCATGGACAGCTATAGTCCATGGGGTCACAAAGAAGCTGACCCCATTTGTCAACAACAACAGCAACAACAACAACAACAACACCGTGACAAGTCCTGAGAGTGCAAACACAAACAAAAAGAAAGAGAGTTTCTCCCCTCAAGGAGCTTGCATTCTAACGGGAGAAAGCTGAAAAGGTGAGGGGAAAAAGTACGGTGAATAAAAAAGTCCAGAGAGCCAGGAGCAGAGCCTTGAGAGAAATAGAAAAGTGGACATGGCTGGCCTGAGTAATAAAACACAATGTTCTGATGCTTATTATTTATGAAAATTTTGGGTGAGGATAAAAAAATGAAGCTTTGAAGCTCTTCATTTGGGAACTCCCTCCAACTTGACCTATTAATCAACATTTTTATTGTTCCATTAGGTATCAGTCTATTTAGTATTACTTTTTTTTTACTTTTTTTTTTAGTATTACTTTTTAATGTACTGTTTGTATACTACTACTATTTAATGTAGTATTTAATGCATCCAGCCAATATTTCACTACCTCATTCACAAGAATATCAAGATCATATTTTGCTAGAATATTTTGCTGGAATCAGCACAATTCATATATTTCTTTCTTCTAGTTTTTGCAATCTTGTAATCTTATAAAAATGAAAATGACTATTTTTGATATATCATGTGTTAGTGAATTAATGTCCCACAATCTCTTCTAGATTCTCACAAACCATCCATTTAAAAATTTGTTCTAAAGTTTTTTGAGAGAATGATATCAAATTTATCAATCTATAATAACAATTTCTGAACTTCATATCCTTATGATCTCAAGAGATTTGAGAACTTCTCTGTCATTTTGAGTGTGTCCCTCATGATGCATTTTGAGAGGATATGGATAAGAGTTTTATAGGCATAGCTAGGTTACAATGTATACAGCAGTGGAGAATGTACACATTTATGAGATCCAAGATTCTTTGGAATATTGGTATATCATTTCTGGAATCTATTCTTACTCCCTTTTGAAAATCAGGATATTTGTCAATGTTCAGGCTTTTATTACCTCTCTCTCTCCTCTTCTCGAGACTTCAGAAAAATTATTGATAATTGTTCTGAAATCTCACCTGAATATTGGATCTATACATTGGAATATGGTTATCTGAACCTGAAAACTTGAACTCATACAGAGTATTTCTGTTCAGTCATGTGATCTTCTTGCCTATCTTGTGATTCAACCTTTAAACTATTTGTTTCAACCTTCCCACTTAAAAAAATCATTTTCACTGATAGACAAGATAATAATAACTTACATTTATATAGCCCTTTGAGATTTGAAAGTGCTTTATATATATCAGTTAATTCTCATGACACTGTGAAAATAAATGTTATTATTACATCTAGTTTATAGATGAGATAACAGATTACTGAGAGGAGAGAAGTGACATGCTCAGGATCACACATCTAATAAGTAAGTAGGAGTGGAACCCAGCTTTTCTTAACTCCAAGTATAGCTCTCCAAACCAGGTGTTTTTTAACCTTTTCTGAGTTGTAGACTGCTTTAGCAGTTCGGGTAAATCCTATTGAGGCCTTCCCAAAACAATATTTTTAAACCACAAAATAAAATTCATTGGATTACAAAGGAAACAAATTATCTTAAAATTTACTTATTGAAATATTAAAGAATAAGAAACTCATGTGTCCCAGGTAAAGAATTCTTGCCTAAGTGAATCAAAAATTAAATAGTACTGCTTTCTCTTTGTCACCCATTATCAACCCTAAGCCGTAAGATTATTTTGACCTTCTTTTTTACTGTTTTGTAAATAGCTAAAAATACCCATTTGTTTTCTTATGAAGTGTCTTTCTTTCTCTTTTTCTTTCTTTCTTTCTTTCTTTCTTTCTTTCTTTCTTTCTTTCTTTCTTTCTTTCTTTCTTTCTTTCTTTCTTTCTTTCTCCTTCCCTCCTTCCCTCCTTCTTCTCTTTCTTTCTTTCTTTCTTTCTTTCTTTCTTTCTTTTTTCTTTTTTCTTTCTTTCTTTCTTTCTTTCTTTCTTTCTTTCTTTCTTTCTTTCTTTCTTTCTTTCTTTCTTCTTCCTTCCCTCCCTCCTTCCCTCCTTAAAGACAAATGGTTAGTCAAGGCACATTTATTAATCACCTACTATGTGCTGGGCATTGTGCTAAGCACTGAGGTTACAAAGTAAGGCAAATAATAGTTCTTTTCAATTTAATTTAATTTTATATTTTTTTTTCGCTAGGCAATGGGGTTAAGTGACTTGCTCAGGGTCACACAGCTAGTGAGTGTTATGTGCCTGAGACTGGATTTGAACTCAGGTCCTCCTGAATCCAGGGCCGGTGCTCTATCCACTGCACCACCTAGCTGCCCCAAAAAACAGTTCTTGCTCCCAAGGAGCTCACAGCATAATTGGAGACAACATTATTTTTTTTTAAAGTACATTTTTATTACTATCTTCTGTTTTACACCATCTACATTTTTCCCAGTATCCCTCACTTTGTCTCCTCCCAGACAGTCATCCCATATAGCTGAGAATAT